TCCCGAGCGCCCGCGCCCCGCGCCTCCCGGCCCCCCTGCGCGCCTCCACCCCTGGGGACCGAGGCCGCGGTGTCTCCCCGGCAGCTGCCCAGAAACGCCGCACTCCTCCAACCCACGTGGCCGGCCTGGGATTGCCTTTGACGTCACGCCCCGGGGGGAGGTGTGACGCAATAGACAGGGGAGCCCTGATTGGCCACGGAAGGGCTTCCCCGAACTCAAGGCCTAAGTGCATATAGACTCGCGGCTCAGGGCTAAAGCGAGGGAAGTGGGTAGTTTTGTTTTGCTGACGAGTGAGGCGGTTGATAAGAGGCTGAACAACCTCCCTGCCCCCTGCAGACTTGTTTCTTTTTCCCTCCCGCGGATTTCTCGGGGCAGTCAGGGCACATGATAATGTACAGTGAGAGGTATTAAACGGGATTATGACTTTTAAAGTCATTTTAACAAAACTTTAAAAGTCAACACATTCAGACGTGCCAGTGATTAAATGTTAAAAAATAAAATGTTTATTTACATAGCATTGGCTGGAACAAAAATCTACATGCCCATCAAATTATTTGTAGATGCAATTTAAAATTTTGCAGAATAGGGTCGAAAAGAACTCTAAATTCTAAACTTTTCCCTGCCAATGTGTGCAAGTTGAGGCATTCATTATGTTAGTTTTCACTGCATTTTTTAAAAGTCGAAATAAGATTGATTACTTATACAACCCAGGTATTTTAATCCCCATCATAGTCCTTTAAAGGTTTTCCTAGTATTTTGGCTATTTGTTTACATTTTCAATAAAAGTTTAACTCTTTAAAGTACCCATTTTAGTAAGTATATTATGTTGTGTATGCAATTTGGAACAAATGATTTTAGAATTTTAAGCAGACATTTCTGGATTATAGGATTGCAATTAGGATATCATCACTCATTCATTTCTTTTTTAATTTCTATATTACCTGAGTGGGGTAAATAGAAAAATGTATTGTAGATATATTGATAAACATTTATTACCTGAGTTGCTTGTATTGCACTTAGAACTAAATCCTTACTTTATTATTATTATTATTATTACTTCCTTTCCCTTTTAAATGTTTTTTATTGATTTTAGAAAGAGAGGAAGGGAGAGGGAGAGAGAAAAACATCAATGTGAGAGAAACATCCATGGGCTGCCGTACCCCCCAACCCCAGCATGTGCCCCGACAGGGAATCAGCCGGGGATCCCTCAGTGCGTGGGACCACGCTCAACCAACTGAGCCGCATCGGCCAGGGCTGAACGAAATCTTTACTTTATGAGAGTTACGTGTAGCTTATAGAAATCCAAGGTGAAAATCAGTGACTAGTATCAAATTTGAGTGACACTCCACAAAGCACAGATATGTAGTCAGGTAACTTCCTGGGTAACAGGAATTGTGCAATGAATGAATAGGAAGTCAGATTGTGTAATTGTTTTTGTTAAGTCAGTCTATAGAATACCCCACACTATTGAATTTCATGAACACTTTTTCACACATGGTTTCCTTGCCAACTAAGATTACTTTCAAAATAAATTTTTTCGTGAATTTTTCACTGGTTTATTTTCTATTGACACTGTGGGGAAAGCCCTTATCTATGGATCAATGTGTAGACCCCCTTTGGCAAAAAGTTATATTACACAGTTACATTTTTAATCTAAAATAAATATTGTTACATTATTAGCTTCCTGACTTTTGCATGATATGGAGGGGAATGAGTTAATGAAATTGGAGAATAGAGCATAAACCCCACTGTCCCTTTCTGGGTCCTCTTTTTTTATCCATGCACACCCAGGCTGTGCTTCACTAAGAGGTTGCAAGGACAGAGCCAGTGGCAGCTGATATGACAGCTGAATGGGGGGACAGCTCCCTGTAGAAAAATCACTTCCATCACCCCAACTTGGTCTTAATCCTTTACTGTCTAGCAGCAGTCTGCATAGAGTACCATCCCATTGCATGCACCTTAAGTTATTCAAGTCTATTTTGAATGTCACCTATGTGGACACTACATATACTGCCTTGCCCACAATCTAGAAGACTGTTACTCATATATGAGTCAAAATAAATATAATGAGGCCATATTATTAAATATTTTATTTAAATTAAAGAAATATTTATGAATGAATGCCTCTTAAATACACACATCTACACTGCACGTTGATAAGATGCAGCCCACATCTTAATGGAACTCATTGTACAAAAACATATTTAAATAACCATAGTGTAAGGCAGAATATGAGATGACCCATAAGAAATGTAAAATAATAGCTACTGTTGGCCTCATGTCTAATATTATACATCTCAGTCACTGTTAGGCACTTTACATACATTATATCTATTCCCCTACTCCGTACCTCTCGCCTCCAAAGAAAATTTTATAAAGGAGCCTTGCCCAGAATGATTAAACAACTCACTCAAAGTCACAGTGTTAGCAAGGAGTGTGGATGAAATTTAATCCAAGGAATAGTAAATATAATGCTCTTGAAGTGGACATGCCACAGCTGGATTAGTCAAGTTTTATGGGGGCTCATCAAGTTGAGGACAAATCATTTTGATTGAGAGAGATCAGGAAAGAGATCATGAAGAGACTTAACATTTGTGGTACATGTGGCCACATAGGATTTTGATCTATAGAAATAGTGCCCAAGAGCCAATGGAGAAACATAGAATTAAGATTCCATCTCAAGCCTTTTTATAACTTACCCCTTTGCCATATAGGGCAGTTGGGAGTATTGGCATCCTAGGATTAATTGATCAATATTGGCAATGCAAATGAAAATAAACCTGAAACTTAAAGCTGTGGATCCAGACACAGCTGTGGAGGACAAGGCCTTTGAAAGGCTATTGCTGAACCCTGCAAGCTCGGCTCCAGGGTCTCTGCTGGGATAACTGCAGTGGGGCTGGAGAAAAAAAGGCCAACTTCAAAGCCCATAGCATGGGAATCAGAGTGCACTCTTTCCATAGGTCAAGCTTAGTTGCTTCATTTATCTTAACTGGGAATTCTGATTTCTGGACTTTTAAATCTGTACTGACTCTGATCTGGGTGAGATTTACTTGGAAGGAGGCCTGCATAACATCATTGGTTTTCTTGATCTAAGTAAGTAATCAAATATACCTTAGACTTTAGTCCCTGACTTCTCCTACATTAATCATCCCTCCCTCTCATACCCGAATTCAACCTTTAGACTTATGGACAATTTAGTATCCGACTGAAAGGTATAGATTTCAAAGTAAGGTAAGAATTTTGTTCTAAGTTTTACCTAGAACTTAAAATTGGGCATGAATGAATAAAAAATTTATAGTTTTACTTAATACTTTATTTTTCTGTTAGAAAAAATAAATCTTGTGACCAGTTATTTAAATTAGTTTACTGCAAATGTCTATAATGCATATGTGCAAGACAGTTGCTTAATAGAAAGTTATCTTGAAGGATCATGCTGAAATATTAAAAAAAAAAACAAAACTTACCAAAGATGGTAAGATAGTGAAGGAGGGATGAGAAATGTCAGTTTTGA